GTGAGTTCACTGACACCTTAGTTCAGGAGCTTCAACTTAGCATATTTTACGGGAATGATTACACTCCTTTTGTTGAAAGTTGTTCAGCATCGGCCACTTTAGAGGTTTCCGGAATTCTCCCAAACACCTGAAGCAAGTACGGTAGGTTTCTCACTGGACACGAAACAGCTGGTCATCATCAGCTGGTCACACTTGATCAGCTGACCGAATCTAATCTAACCGAGTCTAATCCCTGAGTATGAACGTGTCCTGCAGATAAGGGGATTTTCGACCGGTGTGCACGCTCGTAAATTTGTCGGGGTTCGCTTCATCCGGACTTGGCACTAGATGGGCGAAATTCAGGGTCGGTTATTCCAGTGGACAGTGTCTCTATGCGTTCAGCATGCTCTGCAAAACCAGTGCAATTCGTTGTGGCTGGCTTCAAACTTTTACTTCCACCCAGGAAAGTTGTGAAACTCGGATCACCTTCAAAGGTGCGTTTGATGTGAGCTTTCTCTCCTTCCCTCACTGCTGATGTATGATGGCATATCCGCAAAAAAGATACGTAAATTATCCGAAAAGCATTTGCGGCGGTACGGATCGTCGGCAAAATGACTCACTACCCTTGAGTAAGTTTTTGTTGTTCGGCTATCGTCGGCAGGTATCCTTCTTTTGGTCAGTGAACGAATTCTCGTGTGTGTGTGTGTGGGGAGGTTGGAGAGATAAAGAGGTACGTGTGCGATACTGTCGTGCTCACGGTTCTCGTCAAGACTATGAGGGCGAGGCAATCTGCGATTGTTTGATAGGGGCGGCTTTCATATCGATTGAAGCCTGATAAGTCCTTCAGTTATGCGATAGACTATTCAGCACAAATGGAGGAAATCGAACAAGCAGTGTTCCCAAACCCCAGCGGCATGCAGCTTCCGACAAATGGGCTTTATAACAGCAATAGCTATAAAAAAAACAAGGGCGATTAGCTCACAGAGCCATGATTAATCCATACTGGCACTTTTTTGAGTGTTACATATTTACACATTTCCTTGATTACCTAGCTAGCTTCCTAGTCACTTAACTGCCCACTTACTTACCTACTTACTCACCAGCCTAATCAATTAGTTATTGACCAAGCCTGCTGTTGAACCAGATTGTTATGGGCGCATATATCATATATATATATCATATATATATATTATATATATATAGAATCATTCAGCTGTAACATCCTTCCGGTGTCTGGGAAGGAAGCACGAGGGCTGGGGTACTGCCAGGCTGCCCAAGCCTAGACAGGGGAAGTCGAGAGGCAGAGGTCGGGTTCGAACCACGGACCTTCCAGTCAGTAAATTCGTGCTCTAACCACTTGCCTAACCATCTCGCCCCGCATGATTGGACATCTGATCGTATTTTTTAATCGCCCTGCGTCCCCAGGTCAACCGATCACTGATTTCTGGTGAGTTGTATTCTCTAGTTGATCTTTATCTTTTGGTTGTGATGCTTTGTCCGCTTGCAAGATCTCGGGGCAGGAGACTAATTCCACTGCGGTGTCTGTCCTCAGATGAACTTCTCTGGAACTCACGCACATAATTTCTTCTTGGATATGAATCCAATGAAATGGGGTTATATTCCAGGAGAAATGTGCTTGCGAACTGTGGACCGTTCTCTGATGATAGTTAATCTCGTATCATGCCCCATCCGCATGTTTGGTCCCGGAGCGGAGTTAACGATCATCGTGTACTAACGACTGTGATTTGAGGGGTACGGGTACTTTACTCGATCATACATTCAGAACGTGCCGAACCCGTCACGAAGAGGCTGGACCTTACCGTGGTGTGGCGGTTTGTGTACCTCGGCGACCCATTGAACTATACTGGCGAGTGTCCGCACGATGCTCACAGAGTCTCTCATACCAGGTTGGTCCGGGAGTAGGGGTCCGACGAACACAGCCTCTTGGCCCTCCAGGTTGGGGGTTGGAACACGTATGGCGACGTGTTCCCAAAAAAATGGTAATGTACTTGCATTTCCAGCCGAACACCGCTGCCTTGAGGTTAGGCTTCTGAGCCAAAGGCTTTGGTTGAGGACCCTAATCGTCCTCCTGTCTAGGTGTGGGCGCCCTGGCAGTATCCCAGCCCTCGTCTATCTCGTTTTGTTAACCCCTCGCATCGCACTTTGTGCGGTATGTAATCAAACTGGCGCCCATCCTCGACACTTTCGAAGGGTATACTCGACTGTCACAGGAACGCTTCGGTTCGAGCTTGAAACGGATAATGGAATGGGACTATATGTGATTGCCTTCCGATTATTTGGTGAATTTCTGTCATATCCAGGACTCCTTTAAAGAAGTCATCATGTTTGTGCTTATGTAGTATACGGTGTCTTTCAGTTTGACTGATTCATATATAAGTATCGGCGATGTACAACCTTGTTTACTGGGCTTTGGCTCACGAGCTTTGTCTCTGTTTTCCATCCACAGAAATTGTAGTGAACACCTGCCTTCGGAGAATCACTGTCCGTAGCGTTCCATAGCGTTCATATTACACTTATAGGTCAGTTTGGTAGATTGCACTCACCTTTCAGGTTGACCTTCAAAACCTACTCACGTTGGTAGTTGACAAACTGCCAGACATCCGGTTACTGTCACCACACTATGGACGGTTCTGCGTTGTCAGGATTCAACGAATATGACCCAGGATTGTTTTTAAACTAGAGCGAAATTTGAATAGTTCAAACAGAAAAGAACTGCCTAATTGTGCATAATCCGAAAGTCAAGGAAAAGGGGGACTTACCCTTCTTGAAAGCGGATGAACTCGCGGTCCGAAATGGTACGATACTTGGGCGTTCTCTCCAACATCTCCGTCCACAGCGTGTATTCGATAGACTAAGGATCCGGGGGATAAATCTTCCGGCACACTTACAACCAGGGGCAGTGGTTTTGGGGCTTCTACGTTCACAGGAAGACAAGATGGTGACGGAGTGTGTTGACTGTTCCGTATAAATGTTGGTCGACAGTCGTTTGCATCTTCCACGGTTATGAGCAGTGGTAAAGTGGTTGTATGTCTTGTTGGAATAGGTCCGCTATCGTGGGCCAACAAATACAAGCGGTACTGGTGTTCAGTCTCACGGTCCAGTCCTTCTTTCAGAGTTAATTCCAGGCGGGAATTGTTAGTCCACGTCAGGGTGAATAATTTCGAATCTTTGACCTGAGTCCATAGTAATGAATATTCTATCTGACCGTTGAAACAAAAGTCTCGGTCGGAAGCCGTAGGTAGTTGACGTGCTGTTCCTCTCGGATCATCTTCCTTGAAAAAGATGTGGTATTCCATGTTCGGGAGCTCGAATACTGGAGCGTTGTCATTCACATCGGAAAGAATTATTCTAATCATATAGAACTTCACATTGGCCGGTTGCAAAGGGTACACAGTTACGGTGAGTCGCAATTCACATTGGGCTGAGCTATCTTCCCCAATCAACTTAGGGCATTGATCACGAAAACACTGGCAATGGTCATCGGAATTCGCATTCCGCTCATGAGATGTCATGGTTTGGCAAACATGATCGCGATCGATTGGCCGATTGAGGACGAGTTCTTGGACCAACGACGTCCTGAAACGGATGACAAAGTATGGCACAGCCCACTGGGTCGATGGAAAGAGTCGGATATGTGGAGTTGTTTCGGAAATTTCTTGAGAACTGATCATGGACGTTACCCGACCAGGATTGGCAATCAGATCGATACTCAGAAGCTGAGGAGATGGAGTTTTCTGGTCCTCTTTATTTGCTATCGGGGAGTTTCTCAACATCCACTCAGTGAGCTGTAAATCAGCCACCAAGTTGCCTAAAACCACGGGCGTGGGAGACTCCTCAATCACTGTGTAGTTTATGAAATGGTGCGGTCGTTTATCGGGAAACGATCCGGGACTAGGTTCGGCGGACAACGGAGTGATAATCAGGAGTACTGAAGCGAGGTAAGCTAGACAACTGCATGGTGCCATTTAGCATTTCATCGACTGTTTCGTGCTCCATTTGTTGGAAAGACAGCCGACAAGTAAGGTCGATTCACACCGTCCGCAAGCTGCTTCACCGGAATAGGGTCTAAAATACGGGAAGGCCAACAATTATTAGGGCTAAAAGAAGGTGCGTGGCGGTAACTGAAAGTAACCTGTTACTCCGTCACGATGTGCAAAGCCTGCCTCATGTTTCATTTAGAGCGGTGTTCAACATCCAGCATAAACGAGCGATTTAGCCGACGAGCAGACGAGTTTCCCGTGAATACCAAATCGGTGTTCAAACAAGCGCATCTGGTGAGGTTTTCGCTATTCAAGTTCTCGGAAAATATGAGTTTGACTAAAAGGAAACCCGGAGGTTGTGTCTATCTGATAAACCCCAAGATCGTCGACCAAAACTGGTTGTGGGCTATCAAAGAGTCTTCAGAAAAATGTAATTTCCTCTAGACTGGCTGCTCTTCCTCACACTGTCCATAATTGAAAATGCCTTGTTAGGACCGGCACGCAGACATTATTCCCATCACTGAGGGGATATTTGTTCATAGGCACTTCTGAAACACACAACTGACTGTTAATCCTCTCTTGAGAGATTACTTGAGGGACATTACGACTTTCCGGAAGAGGAGTACCACTGAAAGATTCAAACAATTCACACTAAGTTCTCAGAACCTGTGGCGCTCATTGGCCTCAGATGGTCAAAGATACCCCTTGATTAAGCACATAGAATTCTTTGCAAACTGATTACATTTTAGCGACTCATATTCTTGCTGGTGGACTCAATACGATTTCCGGCTTTCGAAGCGTCCGCGTTCCTCTATGAACTGAGCCAAGTTAAGAAAAGTTACCACTCACAAATGCAGTACAGTTTGACTACAGTGAGTGAGGAACCTACAATGGCTTTGTCTGGAAAGAGCTATTCCCTAAGGAAAGTAACTTCCCACCAATTTTTATATTCTTATATGTAGTGTTCTATTCCTATATTGTCACAGAACGCCCGATATTTTGCGTAATCGATTAATGTCACTGAACCTCGTCTGTCTTATATTCCGATACTCTTCTGATAACATCTCACCAGCCTGATTGTCAATCACAAATACGTCAGACTAACATTCACATTAGATGTGCCTCAAAACGGACACAGCCCTAATCCGCGGAGGGCTGAGTTTCACTCAGTTCAATGTCACTCTGACTATTGGCTATTCAAAACGACGCTGTTTACTTGACCAAAACACAAGTACGAAGCGACTCAATTATAATGTGAAACCATACTGTCTGCTCAGATTTGTTCACTACGTGATGGAATTCCATTCTGCCTTGGAATTATCAGGTCTGTTTGGCCTTCATGATTATCCCGTTTTTCACATTTAGTCGATATCACACGAATTCTGGGATAACTCGTTAGAAAAGCTGTCAAACGGAGTCTATTTACAACAACCATGCGGTGCTATGAAATTGGACTAGACCATATTACAAAGAGTGGATTCTTTGTTGCCTGGGTAATTAAAAGTCTGCCTTGTTTATCCTGCGCAACGTTCACTGGTTTGTCACAGCCCTGTCAAATAAGGATGACAAGTCGGGATAATGTAAGTTAATCGGGGTGGTGACTTGCTTCAAAGATTAACTTTCCTCTCCCGCAGATCATCATCATCATTATCGACAGCA